TTACTGTCAAGATGTAATTTTTGTCGTAAAGCCTTTTCCATGCTGATATTTAATGATTTATACATTGAAACAAAAGATGACAAGATGAAAAAATATAGGCAAGACACCAGAAACATATGGCAAGCCGTTTTAACTTTTATTCATTTCCAGGATATGAATTGTTGATATCAACAATTACATTTTTGATATCAACAATTACATTTTTTGATATCAACAATTACATTTTTGATATCAACAATTAAATTGTTGATATCAACAATTGAATTCTTGATATCAACAATTCAATTCTTGATATCAACAATTGAATTATTGATATCAAAAATGTAATTCTTGATATCAACAATTGTATTTTCACTAGCGAAATGTCACCATAGACTGCCATTCAAAATCAATTGTTGATATCAAGAATTGATTTCTTACTAGTAGAAATATAATTTTTGATATCAATAATTACATTGTTACTAGTAAAAATGCGAATTCCTGATATCAATAATTAAATTATCACTAGACTAAATGTCTATTCTTGATATCAACAACTGAATTGCTACTAGTAAAAATTTTCATTTTTGATATCTGAAAATGTTTTTCTGATATCAATATTATTTCAGATATCTAAAATGGCTTTCTTACTAGTAACAATCACATTCATGATATCAGAAATTAACATTGTCACTAGTGAAAATTGAATTATTGATATCAAAAATGAACATTGTTACTAGTAGCAATTCAATTGTTGATATCAAGAATAGACATTTTAACTAGTGACAATTGAATTCTTGATATCAGAAATAAAGGTTTTTACTAGTAAGAACTGTATTTCTGATATGTGAAATTGGAATTTCAACTAGTAAGAAATAAATTCTTGATATCAAGAATTGATTTTGAATGGCAGCCTATGGTGACATTTCACTAGTGAAAATACAATTACAGATATCAAGAATTATAGTTTTTACTAGTTGCAATTCAATTGTTGATATCAAGAATTATCATTTTAACTAGTGAAAATGTAAATGTTGATGTCAAGAATTAGCATTGTTACTAGTGAAAATGTAATTCCTGATATCAAAATTGCCATTGTTACTAGTAGAAATATTATTCCTGATATCAATAATTATAATTTTAACTAGTGAAAATTGAATTGTTGATATCAAGTATTCATATCCTGGAAATGAATGAAAGTTAAAACGGCTTGCCATAGAAACATCAAAAGCTGACTATGTCACAGCCAGGATATTCATAATGAAGTGGCTTACATTTTTTTGAGTATGCTTTTTGTTCCTGGTCATGACACTTAATGGTCTATCCTAAGCAGCTCACCTGCAAAGTCTTTGCATATTTTCAAACCACCCTCCATTTATTTTGTCAGTGCCTATATAGCCAAACCTTTTAGCTATTAATCTCCTCAAAAGTTCAGGAAAAGTTTACAAGAAATACTGCATTATGTGTGTTTGTGTTGGAACAGATTATAAAAGGTTTTTTTTTTTTTTTTTTTTTTTTTACTTGGATTAATCCATTTCTTCAAATCACTTCTAATTCTACCTAGCACACAAAACAGAGTTTTGATTATTCTGTTAAGTACTGTAACTCAAACAATGCAACTTCACCCTTTCGTATTTGTCCAAGGTCATTAATACCAAAGAATGTGTAATCCATTGGCTCAATCAGCATTATTATTTTGTTCTTGGTAATTACAGAAACAGGTCAAATGCGTATAATTATGCTCTGGAATGCTTTTTTCCAAGAAAGTATATAATGCCTTGGCATTTTCATGGGGCAAGTGCATCTTCTCTGCACTTGCCCTCGTCTTTTTCAAGGTGGTAAAACAACAAAGTATGCAAGAGTGTGGTTCAGTAACTGAAAAGGGCCTATGATTATCATTTGTAACATTAAAATTATGATTCAGTATAAGAATTGGGATGAAACTTAGTTTTGACTGAAGCAGGCCTTCTAGTGCCAGAAAAAAAAAAAAAAAAAAGATTAGTGGAGCATAAGCTGGCTAAGTCCTAAACAAGAGCTTAAAATGCTGCCTCATCCCGAAAAGTCCCTAATCAAGGAGTTAGGAAATCTCCACTTTGGAGCTTTGGAGGCATGTGTGTGAATTAGTCTCATAGTCAACTCAAAACAAACAGAGTTAAAGCCATGAAACACGAGGGGTCAAAGTCAAGCAAGAACCGCAAGCTGCTGAATTAAGATCCCTCAGATCAGTGATTCCAGAAAAGCTCTCTGCACAGAGTTCAAGCAGATCCCGTGAAATTGTTACATAAGAAAGTTCATTACAATGTAAAAGAATTTTTTTTTTTTTTTAAAACAATCGGCCTAGCAACAACAGGAACACTTCCACAGTTTTTACAGATATGTTTAATGGTATCTGGGTGAGCATAATATAGCTACACTACCAAAGAGGGGCGCTGCTCTCTCAAATGTGACCCAAAGTTGTCTGCCATGGTTTACAATTCAGTTCTCCAGTTATGCACAGAAACATTAAACATTACATCTAGGATGATAAAAGACAGAAAAATAGAGAGCATTTTATTCAATAAAAAAAAAATCATTTACTTTCTACAACTTTGACGAAGAACATGTGATTATTAGACTTAAAAAGCATATTAAGTTGCCGTGTATAGCTAAAGATTTAGGGTTAGCCATAGAGGGGTCTATCTGTACAAACAGAGCAAGTGAGAACACAAAAGGGTAATGGGGCCTGCTGCTAAAGCAGAACTTTGACAGGTTATGTAGAAATATTGAGTATATCCCATCTAATCTGTTTAGCATTATGCAACCAGACGGAAAAACTACAGCCTTGTAAATGCACGATTGCAGAGAATAGGAAATCATGAAAAACTTCAAAAGCACTGTATAGTGAGGATAAAACAACCGAGTTCATTTGTTTTCTTGATGCAGGACTCAAATAAATAATAATCTGAATAATAATAAAAACACTGCAAAAGCATTTCTGAAAAATAAAACATGCATCTCACAAAAAAATAAACGTTTTCCAATCACAACTTCCATCAAGCAGTGACATCCCTTATACTACAGGGAGAAATACAGCTGCCTGTTCAAATTGCACTGAACATTTCAACAGTACCCAAGCAGAGAATGGAAATGTTATTATGAATATTCAGTGGTTTGCAGTGGGCCAGACTCTAGTCTACTTTGTTTCCTTTTCACTCAGTTGTTTGGACCAGATTTTACATAAATATTTAGGCATTGCTCCACTCGGTTCTGAGAATGGCTTTGATAGAGGATTACATATCCAGTGACCACTAATTCCAAAATTACACAAATAGTTTGTAATAAACAAATGACAAGAGCTCATGAGGACACATACTCAAAAACATCACCGAAGATGTCATGCAAGCTTTGCTTGACTCCAAACAAACACATTATATGTTAGCACTCATGTAATTCAAACAAACAAATAAATAAAATATCTGTATAAACAGAAAATAAGTAAATTATAGAACCTATTCTTGTCATAACAGTGAATACGCTTTATGTTTTGGAAGTAGGACAATTTTGTTACAGTAACTGCAGTAGGTGTTTCCTAAACTTTCTTATATGAAGGTCACATTGGAAACGTTGACATTTTTTCATACTACTTTTCAAATGTATTTTACCTATAGATTATATTATAACAGCTACTTAGGGTTAAGCAAGTCAAATAAACATGTAGGTTAATTTACAATACAATGATTGCTAGGTAAAACGTATCTTGATTTTTGGTTGGTAAAGTGCATGTTGTTCACGTACAGTCACATGCAACTTCTGTGAGCTCAGAAAGGTAGGAGTGTATTATATTAATGACATCACAGCTCTTTTCTGACTTGTCAAACTGACAGTGTTAGTATTAGGTATACTATTATTAGGTAGTCCTCCTAGGTCCCACTATTAGGCTAAGATGTCAACTATTAGTTATATTAGGGGGTGAAATTAAAAATAAAACAATATATTTATTTTGTGAAATCTTGTAAATCTATAGTCGAGGAAACTTAGTGACAAATATGGTTACCATGGGTAAGGATGTACAATGTAATTAAAATGTATTATTCATTCTCTGCTTTTCAACATCCACGTCGACACTGGCTGAATCCGAAATCGCCTCCTATAGGCTACCCTCAAATAGGGCGTTATTTTGCAGGGGACAGCCGATTGTAGTGGTGTCCGAAACCATAGGACTAGTGCACTCATTAAACATTGCAAACTGCAATAACAAGTGTACAACCTTCTAGTGAACATTATTAGTGGACTAGTGAATGAGGGTTTAGGGGGCGATTTTGGATTCAGCCTGACTCCACCCTCTCGTTTTTTGAAAAAAACTTTATTTACAATCAACCTCAAGAACAACCCGTCATTTCGAAACACACAATATTAATAAACTCGGTAGGTATTTATGATTACATTATCTAATATAAACTAAGGTTTAATTTTGCGATAAAATGTTCCATAAACGTGTACAGTCGTTGTATGTAGCAGTAATGCTGAAATAATACGACAGTAGCCTTAGCCTAATCCTGCATTAGAAGCTATGCTGCACAACTAACCCGGTGTGCTCTCTCGTATTCCGTCTGTATTTTAACTGATAAAATGCACACTCTGGAATTAAGAGGTATTTGTACAATAAAGGTTTCACTTCCTCTTTACTGGTTAACAGAGTATAATATGTAAAGGTAGTTAAAGTTAGCTGGTTGGCTAACCTTGTTTTGTTAACACTGACATTCAGCACGCTCATTTGTCGGGCATGTATTATGTATTTTGTCCAGGATCAAACGTGCATGGCTAAAATTCCAAATTGAAATCTGTTATTATAAAACCATCATAATAACCTTGATGATTCATCAGTTGTGGGTTTAGAGTATTGCTGTTATAGACTCGAACTGTGGCACAAATGTCCCCAACACGGTAGCCTTTGAAGTTACGTTTACAATGTAGCCATACGACTTACAGTTGATCGTTCACATATTTCCATTAATGTAAATATCTCTATCTAAATATCCCAGGTACAAAAGCTTTATTCTGTATGGGAGGCAGACATCATCCCCAACCATAAGGGTTTGATTATATTTATGGAACAAGCTCAAGATCACTTGTAGCTTCTGTGGAATATAACAGGTCCTGTGTGGACAATGGCATCGGAGGAGATGGAAGGTTTGTGCCCATTACCAGAGGTGACTGGCATCAAGGTCGAGCCATCAGTCAGCATTGGTTCAGTGGAGGATGCCAACTCACAGAACGCCATGGGGATAAAGTTTATATTACCCAATCGCTTTGACATGAACGTATGCTCACGCTTTGTGAAGTCGCTGAACGAGGAAGACAGTAAAAACATCCAGGACCAGGTGAACTCTGATCTGGAGGTGGCCTCTGTGTTATTTAAAGGTAAATCAAATGAATGGAGGTAAAACAAATTGATGGAGGAAAATGACCACCTTTTTGGTGAATATCATTGTATGGGAAGTCTTCTGTTTCTCTCTCTACAGCGGAGTGTAATATCCAAACATCTCCCTCACCTGGTATTCAGGTTAGGCATGTGTACACGCCATCGACCACCAAACACTTCTCTCCCATTAAGCAGTCCACCACACTCACCAACAAACACCGTGGGAACGAGGTCTCATCCACACCGTTGCTTGTTCACTGTAAGTCTTCTCATTTCTCATTTCATTTGCCAAAACTATCCACTGATATTTGTCAATCTACTCCGGTGTTGTCCAATCCTGGTTCGGGAATGCCACTGTGCCGCAGAGATTAGCTCCAACCCCAATAAACACCCCTAAACCGAGGCAATCAAGGTCTTCAGGGTTACTAAAACCTTCCAGGCAGGTATATTGGGACAAGATGGAGTTAAACTCTGCAGGACGTTGGCCCTCCAGGACTAGGATTGGACACCCCCGATCTACTCTTTAAAACTAAAACCATGACTATAACTTCATGTTCACCTTTTTTCCCTCTTTTCTAGCACTGTCTATACATCAGTTGGCGGCACAAGGAGAGATGGTGTTCCTTGCAAGTCGAATAGAACAAGGCAAGTTTTTAAAATCGATGTGAAGCAAAAGTGCAGTTTGGTCTTAAATACTGTTCAAAAGTTTGTAAATGCTTTTGAAAGTTTATTATGCTCACCAAGACAGTGTTTATTTGATCAAAAATAAACTAAAGCAGTAATATTGTGCAATATTATTACATTTAAAATAATTGTTTATATTTTTATATATTTTAACATGTAATGTTAATGATGATGGCAAAGCTGAATTTTCAGCATCATTACTCCAGTCTTCAGTGTCACATGATCCTTATAATAATACGAACATTGCTTATTATTAATGTTGAAAAAAGTTGTGCTGCTTAATATTTTTGTAGAAACTGTGATATTTATTTTCAGGATTCTTGTGATGAACAGCTTTTGCAACATTATAAATGTCTTTACTGTCATTACTTATTTAATTCAATGTGTCCTTGCTGAATAAAGGTATTAATTAATTCATATAAATATATACTGACCCCTAACTTGAAAAGTGGTGTAATTATTATCTCTTAGGTCAATTATGTCAAACACTTACCTTCCTTTTGCTCTTTAAATTAGAGTCTGTGATAAACCTGCAGGATGAGGAAGGATTCACCCCACTGATGTGGGCAGCAGCTCATGGACAGATTGCTGTGGTGGAGTTCCTGTTACAGAGTGTGAGTGCAAAATACGGTACACTTTCACTACATCAGTTCTTCAAAGTTATCTTTAACTGATCACTGAGATCAAATAGTCCAAATATACCTGCACAAAGCAATCAGTTAGCATTCCTATTCATGTCCGTGGCAAATGTTCGGCTGGTGCATGCTGCCATCTTTGTTTGTGGGGGTCACTTTTCCGGAAGCTTTGTTATTCTTTATACTTTCACACTTCTGTCATTCTTTTAAAATTTTAGCTCAAAGCTCTCAGCTCAAAGCTTTTCTCAGTAGGTCGGAGCCACCTGGGACACAAAGCAGAAGTCAAATTTAATGGCTGAATCTTTAGATACTCAGAATCCTTTGCTTTCAGGGTGCAGATCCTCATCTCTTGGCCAAAGGGAGAGAGAGTGCCCTGTCATTGGCCTGCAGTAAAGGGTACACAGATATTGTCAGAATGCTTATCGACTGTGGAGTTGACGTCAATGAGTACGATTGGGTAAGTGGTCACATTGTTCGTTGATTTCTGAAGACAGCTAAATAACAGAAGATCTGTAAATGAAAATCATGTGTCGGTGACTGTAGTGCAGTATATTACTTTGCTAAATATGCTGGTAGTTAAATGGATTTGACAGGTTTGTTGGGTGGGGGTTAAATAGTAAGAGATAAATAGTCAAATAGTTTTTCCTAGTATTGTTATATGGTGTGAATATACTTCTTGGTATGAGGTGTAGAAGTCAGAATCAATGTTTAAGCAAAAAAATTATTTGCACTTAAAGCAGTGCTTATGCATTTTCAGAATGGTGGTGCTCCGTTACTCTACGCAGTGCATGGTAATCATGTTCGCTGTGTGGAAATCCTCTTAGGTAAAAGGCTTACTTTGAATTCAGTTCATTTCACTCCAATGCATTCCAGTGTTTAGTTTTTTTCACTGTCGTGTAATGAATATGACTTCTGATCACTGAACAGAGAGTGGAGCTGACCCAACCATGGAGTCAGACTCTGGGTTCAACGCTATGGACATGGCTGTGGCGATGGGCCATAGAAATGGTAACACTAACAAAGCTTAGCTTTCTTAAAATATGAATATTTGATGAAGCTGAGATCATTAACCTTGTACATGCTTTGTGTTGGTCTTACTGTCTCAACATGCATGTCATTCTTTATGTTTCCCAGTCCAACAGGTCTTGGAGGCTCATCTTCTGAAGCTTCTGCAAGGTATCAAAGAATAACCATGGCATGTACATGACAAATTGGGAGTGAATATTTGAGTGTTAAATATCTGCTAACTCACTGATGAAGTGAATTGTCATTTTTGAATCCACCATTGAATGAACATACAAATGTACTGACCCATAAACACATGACAATTGCTGACATCAGAAATTGATTTTTGAATTTAATATATTATACAGTATATATGTGTGTGTGTGTGTTTGTGTTTAGTCGATGTGATGTGTGTTTTAGGTCATTGATCTTTGCCAATTTGCAATGTGTACTTGAAAAGCCATTTAAATTTGGCATTTAATGCAAAACGAAGCAGTTTCACATTAAACTTGACTGGTATTAAGAATGGTTCATAAAATAAAGAATCTAAATCAGGTACTTTAGAATCAATGGAGTGCAAAGGAACATGGTGCAAAAAAGATTTACAGCAACAGTTTTCAGTGAGAGATGTACTAATTCAACTATCACTTTTTACTGTTGCACCCAGAAAGATTGTGTTCAGGTTTACTCTTTGGATTACCCTCTTTTTATGGCAAATTTTGTTCTACAACTGTAAATAAACTTTTACTTGTACTAAAGGATGTATCTGATTGATATCTGAAAAACTATTATTTAAAAAGTACACTGCATTTCTAACATGAGTTTTTGTAATGTTTTTTTGTACTAATCCCTAAAGAATCATAATTGTTTGTTAACAATCCTCAATTAAACGCAACAACAGTGTTTAATAATCTTTTTGTCAATAGCAAATGTTTATTTCCAGATGTTGATTCAGACAAGCTCCAAATGAGTGAGCCTCAGTAACAGGGAAGGTGGAGGCAAAGATGCCTCTTGGACCGCACAAGCAAACACACATACCAGTAAAACTGTGCATGAACTTGTGTGGTTCAATCAATCTCACACTCTCAGCATGGACACATGAGGGCCACAGCAGTGCACGAAAAAGATATAATAGATTCAGGGATGCAATACATTTATAAAAGAATAGGGGAAAAAAGTCCCACAAGTCTCCGCTGAGACCTGAGATCTCAAACGCCTTTCCTTGCCATGATGTTAATTTGCCTCATTCTTTGAAGCCTCATCGAAATTCTCCACAAGATCTGCAAAGAGAGAAAATGTGGATTCAGTAAAACAATATAATGTCTACATGGGGTTACAAAGACTTAAAAGGGTAAGTTCACCCAAAAATAAATTATTTTCAACGCTCCCGTGTGTATCTGTGCAAGCGCTCGGTGAAGAGCGCCATTTTTGTATATTTACAACATGTTTTTGAAGCGCTGATCATTATAGCCAATCACAGACATATTTGATAAGCGCATGAGCAATCAGAGGTGTTTATGATTCCACTCAAAGAGTCATATTTTTTAAATTTCGGTACCTACGTCGGTACTTTTTGACAACACTACTATGGAGGGACAGAAAGCTCGCCAACAACTGGCCTGGAATGCATTATACAGCGATTTTAAACTTTTTTTTTTTCGAAAAAATGCAAAGGAAAAACGTTTCTACTTTTAGTACATCGTTGTCATGTAAACGTACCCTAAAATCTCATCTTTATGAAACGCTGTCCGAGTGTTTATAGACACGATCTGAAAGAGCGATTTCTGTGCTTTTCTTTCACTTGAGTGAGCCCACGTGTGCAAGTGATTTCCATAGAGAACATAAACGAGCACTGGGAGACTGAAAAGTCCACAGCTGTAAAAATGAAACCGCAGAGGATCAAAGCAGGTTGCCTTTTAGGAGATGAAATCTGATAAATGGAATATCAACTTTTCTGCTCCGGGGCATCAGAGAGGGAATCACTAACAGAAGGCTGGACTTTGATTGTTTTCAGAGGGGACAGAAAAGGTTGAATCTCAGTAATGGGCACAATGGCACAAGCTGTTAACCCCTTTTGTCATCGCACGGGTGAGCTAATTTTGCAGTGTCGGAGTTGTAATCATACTGTACATGTGTAAGACTTGAGTTACTAACTGGAGTTTGCTCAGGAAGGAGAACTGGGGAATTGTAATGGCAACCGTATGTGTTTGCCCCCCTCTCTTTAAAAAGAAAAGCAAACCGAGCTTTCAGTGCTCATAAACAATAGAGGAGATTTTAAACACTTGTATATGTTGACAATGTAACAGCCTAGACAACCTGCTGAAACCCTCCTTTTTTGGACATTTCAACAACACAAGCAACTATGCTGCCCTAACGTAAGCAAGCGTGCTATGCTTACATTACCACATGCATAGAAACCCATATGGTAATGATTGTGAAGCTCAAGCTAGGAGGCATTTAAAATACACAAGGAATAATAAAAAATGTACAAAAGCCCCCCCAAAAAATCTTATGGTTAATGCGCGTTGCAACTTAAGATATGGTTAAAGTGGATTAGGGAGGGGGGAAGTTTCAGAGCAACATACTGACCTGGAACTTCATCATCATCTTCCTCTCCACCAGCTACCGGTGCCTTTCCATCACCAGCTGAAAGAAATTGGGAGAAAAATTAAAAATGTTCAAACATTCACCATTTTAAACAATACACTGTTAGTTGGAGATTAGAGCATTTACAGTCATCGTTTACAATACTATCAAAAGAGATCTTTCCATAATAGCATAGCTAAACATGCATCTGATATGGGATGCTTCAGCTCAGATTAACCATAAGCCCTGACAAGATATGTTAGTTCTAATAATGAACAGAATTAAAAGCATTCAGACATACATTAGCCCAAACTTAGTAGAGAGAGAGCTTTATAAAAAATAAAAAAAAAATGTATTTTAGTCTTCCGGTTTTCCAAACTGGGGTTTGAGAGTTCATTAAAAATATTTAAATTAAAATACAAAAAAAAAAAAAATCCTGCAAGAGATTTGACCATTAAATGGATAGTTCACCCAAAAATAAATTCTGACATCACTTGCCCTCATGTCGTTCCCAACTCGTAAGACTTTTGTTCATCTTCGAAGCACAGATGAAGATATTTTTATGAAATCTGAGAGATTTCTTTCTCTCCATTGACAGCTACGCAACTACCACTTAGAGGCTTCAAATTGCTTTATGTGATGAACAGATTGAATTTAGGCTTTTATTCACATATAAATGTTCTTCAATGCACACATACGTTAAGGTAAACGGAAGCTCAAGCATGCTTAATTCTAGGTTTGTTCTCGCACGTCAAGCAAGTACTGTTGAGCTTCTGTTTATGTTCACTGATCAATGTTTAGGAGAATAAAAGGCCTAAATTCAATCTATGCACCATATAAAGCGATCGAGTCTCTTCAGAAAATTTAGACAAAACCACTCAATTCATAAGGATTAGTTTTACAATCTCTGTATGAACTTTTTGAAGCATCAAATTTGTAGTTGCATGAACTGTCAATGGAGGGGAAAAAATCTGTCAGATTGCCCTAAAATGTCTTCATTTGTTGCGAAGATGAACGAAAGTCTTACGGATTTGGAATGATATGAGGGCGAGTAAATGACGACCACTTACATTAGGTTAACTATCCCTTTAACCATCAAAGAACTGATATAATGTGTGACCTTGTTAAATTGAAATGTTAGCTCAAAATCTTTAGGGGTACTTCAAAGAAATGTTTAGGTCAAATGGGTTCAGCTGACAAAAGTTTGGGTATTCCTGCTTGAGATGTACTCACTCAGTCTATGCATAAATAACCAACTAAAAGTCTATTCTAAAGTATACTCTCTAGGAACAGACCAGCAGCAATGACACACCCCTACCCCAAAAATACGCAAACACCTGTTTGCAACACACTATTTTGTGGGTTTAGTTAGTAGTTCACTATGCTGCACTCTGCATAAAATGAAAGAAACAAAAGAAATGTGACACACTGCTTCTGTCTGACTCATGCGATCTGACCCATTTTGAGAACAGAACACACCTTGTTTGGGCAGGGCCTCTGCAAGTCTGCGCAGACTGGTCAGGCTGTCAGCGCCCAACTGGTTGAGGATAGAGGGCAGCATCTCTGTCAGCTGCTTGGTCTCGGCGTGGCCTGTGATGGTGAAAGTATTGGCTGCAAGTGAGGCCTGCACTTTGGGATTGTTGAAGTGGATCACCGTGCCCTGGTTTGTAAACATGTTCACCTGCAAAGCAACAGCATGACAATTGAAAGACCAAAGCATTTGTGTACATAGAAAAATTGCATATTTCATTCATAAATGTAGACTTCTGTTTAGCTGAGCCAATCCTTACCTCCTCAATGCCAGAAATGTTATTTACTCCCAATTTCTTCAGGGAGAACTGGAGCTTTTTGTCATCGGCAGTAGCCGTTCTGTGGACCACCTTCTTCTTTCTGCGAGCGGTGCCCTATCAAAACGAAACGGCATCAATATGTAAGGAACTACTCTTATTTGGCCTGATATATATGAAGTACATATACATTACCAAGGTTTTAATGTTTGTTTTGTTATCAGTCCTTACCTTACCACCGATGCGGACTTGTGCCTGCAACTTGGCTAATTTCTCCTGGTTCATTATCGTTTCTTTCATCTGTAAGACAGAAGGATGTCAATGATAGTGTGGAGAACGGAATTAAGTTACGACACAAATGTGTTTCGGGGTGCGGTCTGAATGACAAATTCAGCGGACAAACTTATCTTTAGCCTGCAAAACTTCAACACAGACACATGCACAGCAATTCATAAAACTACCAAATTAAGTCTATGCTCATTTTCAAACACACTTAAATCAGAAAACGACTGTTTTATATTAGGAGCAGCGGCCAGTAAAGAGCAAAAGATCGGAGCTTGCTGTCAGGCCTGTTAAGAAAGAGCGACCGCTTAACTAAAGCAGCAAAAGTCAGGTGGTTGTTACACCGCAAAATAACACTTCCAGACCGACACTGCTATGCAACTCTTCAAAGTTTTCAACTCAAAACTCTGATTAAACAGATGTTATTAGTCCACAAAGGAAAACGTTAGCCAATTTATTAAACGAAAACGATGAAGGAAAAGTCGTAAATAAAAACGCTATTAGCATTCTGTCTGTAAATATAAATGTAAAACGCATTAGATCAATCTGTCGCGTGCGCTATAGCAGCAGTGCTATTTTCACGCGCTCTCGGGCCTGGGTCTCTCCCGGCAGGGCCGAGTCTCACCCGCACCAATTCAGCCATCTTTCCGCGGGTGATTCTTATAAAACAGCAGCCGCTTTTGG